TGATATCACAAAATCTGTCATGATACGATTTTGAGTCAATTCAATCCATAAGTCTGCGATTGATATGATGCTAATTGTGTTAGGTGGACATATGATATCCATCCATTCTGAGCATTTCAGGATGACATGGATCAATGTTTTTGTTTTGCATTGATTTAATTGAATCATAAATTATTTAATCCATATATCAATGTGGATCAATCTATTGTTACACCCCTAATCTCATCGCAACACGTGCAGCCTGTTTGTGGCCTGCTCACTTTTACTTCTGACTGTTTTAGATACATTTAATTGTACAGATATTTTTAGCTAAATAAATGTTTAAAACTGACACATTTATATACAATACATTCAGATAACAATTTTACAGAATAATTTAAGGAACCTTTGAAAAAGTATCAGTCTCCATTATTACATTTAAATGTGCTGTATGTTACTGAATTCCTGGTTGCTGCAGCTATTATTAACCTTTTCTGTACATGATGAATATTCTATATATATATATATTGTATATAGTTATTTTTGGTTTTAATGAAATGAATAAATTTCTAAATAATTATAAAAAAATATGTAATAATTGTTATTTTGTAAGATACCGTAAGTTGACTACTGGGTCAAAATAGACTGCAAGGCCTGGGCTTGTGGGTTATTTTGACCCTTTGGTTTACAAAATCAATTCAAACAAAATTGTTGTTTTGATTTTTAATCAATAAATAAATCAATAGATTAACGAATATAAAACTCTCCCTGTAGTGGCAGCAGTAATCCAATGTTAGACCTGGTTGTCATCCAACTACTCTAAAGACAAATTTGTTACTTTTCATTTGTTTGGAGAAAGTTGACTTCAAACAGGAGAAAACCTCTGGTGTGTTGTGAGGCTTGGGAAAAAAGGAGCGGGGCAAGTGGAGCTGGTGGGTGTGTGGGGGGTGTTACACGGATAGTGAGAGCACACAGAGATGGGAGATAGAGGAGTGGAGAGAGGAAGCACTTTGATCTCTGGCAGAAGTCAGACAGAGCTGGAAAAAAAGAGACAGATAGCAGAAACGATTACAAACAAGGCATGCACTCAATTCCCTACAGTAGCACAAACGCCAGAGGAAGAGACAGACTGAGAGAGAGAGAGAGAGAGAGAGAGAGAGAGAGAGAGAGAGAGAGAGAGAGAGAAGTTTAACAGATTGTAAAAACAGGACAGGGTCACCCAAAGACAGATAGAAAAGGCAAGATGAGAAAACAGAGGATGAAAATGAAGCACAGAAGACCAGGATGTTAAAAGGATTTCAGCGTGGGGGCTGTTAGGGGAGTTCTCTCGAGCCCGATGCTAAAGCAATTAGTATTGAACCCGTTCTTGGAAAGTGAAGCCAAACCACAGCGGCACTCTCTAACATAGTTAGGGTGTAACAACCAAGTCAAGCAAACCCCACAGTCCCCATTAAACCTCAAGTTTTAATTGGTGTGTCAGGATAGTGCTGCTTTTCACAACCCACAAGTGTGCACGCTCTAAAAAAGTTGGCCCAGCCAGCGCACGCATCCCACTTCAAGAGGAAATCCCCGAGACAGTAAACAGCGCTGCTTTGTAGGATTTAAAGGGTATAGAGTGGTATCAAAACCTCAACATTGTATACAAGAGTGTTACATCGCAACAACCACTTCTAATGAGGCCACAAACAAAGTTGTGTTCTGTGTAGGGCTGAAACAATTCCTCAAATAATTTGATTACTAAAAATCCTCGAGGCAAGCTATCTGTCTCGAAGCTTCGTAAAAAATAGATACTGTTATAATCAGCATACTTTTGTCCGGTCAGGATGTTATTTGTGTTGCATAATGCTAAGTTAGCAATTCTGCTAACAGTTACATTGTCGACACATTTATGCTAAGTGCTATATTTAGCTTTGGAAGGAGACAAAGAGTCCCGAAACAAAGTGCTCAGAAAATGACAGAAAATGTAAAAAACCGTGGGATCATTTAAAACTAAACAGAAAAGACAATGAGCAATGCTCTGCATGATGTTTCTGCACCAGAATGCAAACAGCTGCTGCATGTATCGAACACATCAAGATTTAACAACAGGTAATTGTTCCCTTTGCAAAATACCTAAAACTGTGATAATCTGTCATGTTACAGATGTACAAAGAGATATATTTTGGCTAACGTTACAGGTACTGATTAATCATAGCAGCTACCTGGCAGGGTTTTATTTCACATTGTGTAAATTGTGTGGTTAAAAACATTTACTGTAAGTGTATCAAATAAAGACTAAAGCACAGCAACAGATTATCAGATGAAACATTTATTTGTTGCTTAGCTTCTATCTTGTACAGTATAATGAGGTACTTAAAGTGAATATTTTTAGTTTAAAAGTATTTATAGTAGTTAAAAAAATTGCGCTGCTCCTCTTTGACTTTGTAACGTCAATATCCTTCATTCATTACTGTTGTTGCATTTGTTTATATCTAAGCAGTCAAGATTAAATATTTTATTGCCCAAAATGGGAACCCTGAGCCAACCTAATAACAGTCTTAATAAAAAATATGATCTTACTTTTATTGTTAACAACAACAAGTGAACGCTACAAAACTCAATGTGCAACACCCAAATTTTTATATTACCAATTTTACTTAATAAATTTATAACATAAGAAATCACATTCAGTTTTCCAATCAATAAAAATGAATTTAAAGCATTTAAATGTTTCAGTGATGGGTAAAAATTATTCAATGAGTGCTTTTAATTAAAGCCTCCTCAAACCTCACACACATAAATACAAGCAAGTGGAGCTTAAAATGTAAAAATCAAATACAACTGGTTTAGTGATTTACTTTGATTGCACCAGGGTCATCAGCAAGTGTAGATTACAATATTCACAATATTAAATAATTATATTTCTCATAAAACAAATTTAAGTAATTACTGCAGAATATTACAATTCTTTAAAATGCTTTAAAAACTTGATTAATCGACAGAATAATCGATAGATTAACTGATTACTAAAACAATCGTTAGGTGCAGCCCTAGTTCTGTGCACCAAAACTACCACTACCACAGCTCAAGCAATTTCAAGCAAGTATTTTCGTCCCTTTTCCCAACCTAAGATGCTAACAGCTTGATTCAAGCAATGGTACAAGCTGAATTTGAATGTAAAATAGTGCAACTATGGTGGACTTCACATCTGATCCGAACATTTTATCAGAGGTAAAACACCAACCCAGGACCAATCATATACTATCTCTGAACTTTCGGTCCATAAACAGGCACAGTGAACCTTACTGTTTTTACTGTAGCCTACTGCTAGATCCAGGTGGTCCTCATTCATTGTTTAACTGCAGTCAGTCACACATACAGTGATAATATTATACTTACACAAGTTGTAAACATCACCATTAAGTTTCTTTAAACAATGCAGATGCGGTGGCTTGAGTGATAAAAATACACACACCGAGACAGACAGACAGACAAACATGACAGTTGTGACGACATCCAGGTCATGATCAAACAAAAAAAGGTTAAAAAAACATTTTGTTGCAGTTGTTTTTTTTTTTGTTTTTGTTTTTTTTACTTTTTGTAGACTGATTTGCATGAACCACAATAAAGTTTGGGAGACTGGAGTTATTTTAAGACTTCAGTACACTTTTGTCTCGACTATGTTCAGACTAACCATTTCTCCCACCTACAAGGGCTCCACTAATGGGGACCAGGGTGGAGCAACGGCTACTTCTATGTGCCAGGTAAATATGATGTCTGAACAATATTATTTATGAATATAAATTGAAGAGAGGAAAAGGCAACTATGAGGGGAGTAGTGACTATGCTGTTCTCTGTAAAGGAACTATAGTAGACCTACATCAGAATGTAATTCCCAAACTCCCACACTGCAGTATTTTTCAAATAACCTCAATATGACAACGGCATAATAAAACTCTTTTGGTTTTGCTGCGTCACCCAAACATTATCTGTAGACGCTGTGAATAAAAAGAACCTTTGATATATTTTGGGTAAAAATATTTCACATATGAATCCGTTAAGTCTTGTAAATAATGTTTTCTTCTAACTGCTGGATCAAAAGACCTTTTTGTTTATGGCTTCTTTTCTGGGTAATCAGGTGGACGTGGGTCAAGGATCTGGTTCTGGGTTTGAGCACGCTCTAATCACAAAAGCCTCCTGGAAGCTGGTTGGCTCATGGGTCGAGTCACGAGCCCCAAAGTTCTATAAATCCCATGCTTTGTGGTCTGACCCATAGCTTCGTCAGGGGCCCTGAATCCTGCTGAACTTCTGACCTGTACAGCATCTAAACCTGTAGCTTACTGTATTTAGTTCTTTTTTAATAAAAGATTGTTTAATTTTTAGCTCCACCATTTTTTTTGGAAAATCTATCACACCCCCATCTGGTCACCCTGGCGCCTGCCAAGCTAGACTTGAAGAGCTGTGCAAATTTAATTCTTTATAACCTTTCATCTGTCAACAAATATTTTTTCCGATTGTTTCATCAAGTGTCATTTCACTGTTCATGTGATCTTTTCATCATCTCGTTTAACAGTTTTCTCATCAGTATTTTAGACACGTATTAGCTGCTGATATTAGACAGTACTTATCATCAGACTGCTCTGATCTGAGTTTCCTGAACTCCTGCTGAGTATTTTTTTCTCCCTCTCTCTTTGTGAATCACAGTCCTCTGTGACGGTAGTGTGCCAAATCTCAAGAGGCTGTCACTTTCAGGAGCAACATGTCTGGCGCCGACAGCCACACTTCATCTAAAGTCACTCAAACCACACGCGTCTGCCATTCTAACATTTAGTTTAACAGCAGCTGAATGTCTCACCCCTGCCTGTGTGCGCCACACTTCTACTTTAATAATCTGTGACTCCCTGGAGAGGTGAGCTGCTCATGTAAAAAAAAAATAAAATAAAATAAAGAAGCAGCACAACCAAGCAAAGTGAGGACTGCATTGATATGAACCCGTGTGTCTGTTTTAGACCATTACAACCACATTAACAGGAAGTGCTTACCTTGGAATATGGCAGCGTTCTGGATGATGAGGCGTTTGAGTTGCACGCTGACGACCTGCAGCTCAGACTCCATGTTGCTGCGCGCAGCTACCTGATACCGCTCCTCCATTTTCTTGGAACAGCAGGTCGGGCCTTTGGTTTGGCAAACCTGCAGATCCGCACCTGGCAGGAAATCAGCAGAGACAGGATGGAGGTCTGGATGAGCGGAGGGAAGGAGCTGCAAAGCCACTGCTGTTTTAGTTTTCAAAAACAGAAGCCTCTGCTTCCATCAGACACACACACACCTACTATGTCTCTCTATTCTTGTGGGGACTTTCCATTGACTTCCAATCTTTTTTTGAAAATTTTATAGCCTAACCCTGACCATTTACCAAACCTGACCCTACAACTAACCTAAACTCAATTCACACCTTGGTCCTAAACCCAACTCCTCCACACGAAATCAGCCTCCAAAGTCATGCAGACCGGGCTTTGGTCCCCACAAGGAGCATTCTGTCCACACAAGGCTGCATTTTCCTGAAAAAATCATTCCCATCAAGTAGCAAAAAGAAGAGCACATCCACACACACATTCTTGTATTTGCTTCAAACTGAGGACATTGTATTGACTTCCATTCATTTTGTAACTGTATTTATGTCTAACCCCGACATTTTCCCTAAAACTAACCATTACTGGTTTATAGTTAACACTTACCTGAACCAAAACTCAATTTTGTTTTTGTTTTTGTTCCTGCTCTTGGAGGAGTAAGACGCTTTTTCCCCTCTCTCCTGCCCTCCCTTATCTTTCCCTGCTTTGCTGCTCAGAGCCTTCTCCATGTTTTCATCCGAAACCAAAAATTACGGATATTTTTATGGATTTGGTTAGCTGGTCTCTTTAGATTCTGATCACTGGATTCTACAGATTGGCTTGGTGATCTCCTGGTGTTCTACAAAACAGTGTCGGTGGCTATTCTGGCCCTTTCCTGGCTGCCTGACCAATATGAAGGAAGGCCGTACTATCAGCACTCAGACTTTAGCCTTGAGCGAGATGGAACTCGGTCTGCAAGCGGTTCTGCTGAGGGTCGCGGACCGGCTGTGGTTCCTGGACTTTGCTGGCAAGATGAAATTGATCTTGGAGAAGCTGATAGCTTGGCTCGGCGGAATTGTCTACACTATTTGTCTGATTGGATTCGCCACCTTGAGATGTACCAGCGGACATTAATGCAGATGGAAAAAATTTTATTGTCTGCCTGACCAAAAACATTTCTTCTGTTCCCAAAGAACTGATTACAGCTTTGTGTCCGCCCACTTCCTCCATGTGAAGGCGGTGGAACAAATTTCTCCTGGTGTTTACGTTGACTTGAGGCTCCACC